ATCTATCTATCTATCTATCTATCTATCTATCTATCTATCTCTATATATCATCTATCTATCAGTCAATCTATCTGTCTATCATCTATCTTGGGAGCTGATTATGTAGTAGTTGCTCAATAAATATTTGCTGACTCTAACAGCAAATAGCTGGTTTTTGAATCTCTCCCTGATAATCCCAGCTCTTTCCTGTCCTCATGAGTGGGTGGTCTCCAGGATGGCAGAATGCAGGTCATCTCAGGTTCAGACCCCCTCCCCCAACCATTGGGGCATGACAGTGGTAGGCCTTTCTTGGTGGTGGTACTGTGCCATCTCAAATGCAGGCTGATATGGAGGAGCAGCAGGATAAGCAGCAGGAGCCATGGCAGAGGCAAGGACAAGCTGACGAGAGGTCCTGCATGTCCAGCGGAGGATGCTGGGCTTGAGGAGAGGTGCTGAGGGCTTCACATCTGGGAGTGACCAAGCTGCATTGCTGCCCAGCCTCGTTGCAGAAAGAGCACTCTGTTTGTGGTTGGGAGAAGGCTGGACAGAGATCCAGGTCAGAACCTGGAGACTGGGATCAGGGTACGTGTAACAGGTGAGAGACAGGAATATGGGTGGCAGAGAACAGGGAGGGGCATGAGGGAAGGGTGACTGTCCAGCCTGCCTTTCTGGCACTGAGGCAGGTGGTCTGACCATCTCCAGCAGGAGAAAGTACTGGGAGAAGAGGGTAGGAGGTGCTTGAGGCTGAGAGGGAAGAGCTCCCACAGGGCTGGTCCAGGCGCAGGTGGATCTGGGTAGAAAGCAGGGTGCTGGGAGGCACTGCTGTTCTCACCTGCAGATGTTGGGACTGCATTCTCATGCAACTGTGGAGCTGCCTGCAGCAGACTGGAACTTAATGAGACTTGTCTGGGACCCGTGCTAAGGCTCTCTCTCTCTCTCTCTCTCTCTCTCTCTCTCTCTCTCTCTCTCTCCCTAATGGTGGTGCTAAGGCTCTCTCTCTCTCTCTCTCTCTCTCTCTCTCTCTCTCTCTCTCTCTGAGGATGGAGGTGTCCTTTCCTTTAGTAGACTAATTACATCCAAAATTACTCCTCAAAGGGAACCTGCTCCAAAGTGAGGGGTGGCGGGGAAGGACCTTTGGTCAAGGCTCTGGTGAAGGCCAGTTTCAGGTGGGTGAGGCAGGAGGAGGTCGGTTCTGGGGCGCCGTCTCCAGTGCACCTTCTTCTGAGCAGCTTCCTGGAATCCTGGAGCACTCAGGGGAATTGAACTCATTACCTCCCCTTGTGGGTCAACGAAGCAAGGCCGTACATAACTAAGAAGGGAACTCAAGGCCCTAGACCTGGAAACCTGTCTGCCCTCTTTGCCCTACAAGGCTTCCCAGTGCCTCGCACCCCTCCTCCAACCTCTCTGTTTTTCCCACTTCTGGCCAGGGCTGGGGCCGCAGGGCAGGGCCGGGGGGAGCGATTTCCCGGGTTCGGCTGGAGAGTGTGGCACGGAAGCGCCCCTCGGACCTACAGGTAGCCCCCAGATTCGGGAGAGTCCGGACGCCAAGGCACAGGTGGGAGGGAGTGTGCGCGGTGCAGCGGGGAGCGCGGGGGCGCAGGACCCCAGCGGCCGCCGGACCCGCAGCTGCGACGAAGGGACAGCATCGCTGGGCCCCCGCGGCTCCGGCCCCCGCCCCCTTGGCGGCTGCTCGCTCTCCTTTCTCCCGCTGGAAACCAGACGCAGCGCCACCGCCGCCCGACGCGGATCACAGCCCCAGCCGCCCGTGGGCACCGGCCGCTTCCAGCCGCATCGCCCGGACCAGCGGCTCTGGAAGGGGCCGCGGCTCCCGGTCCGACGCAGCGCACGGTGAGCGCCCCTCGGCTACGTGGCCCAGAGCGCCTCTGGGTGCCCAATGGGACCTTCGGGGGGGCGCAGGGCTGAAGTTGGGACCCCGCACGGCCGGCCGGTGCCACCCAGCACGATATGCTGCCGCCGGGGTGCAATGGCACTGCACACCCGGCACGGCTGGGGCCGCAGCGGCAGCTGGCACAGCGGGCTACCCCAGGGGGCTCGGCGGGAGCGGCGCGGCTGGGACCCGCGCAGGTGGTCACCGCCGGCCTGCTGACTCTCCTCATCCTCTGGACCCTGCTGGGCAATGTGCTGGTGTGCGCAGCCATCGTTCGCAGCCGCCACCTGCGCGCCAAGATGACCAATGTCTTCATCGTTTCCCTGGCCGTCTCTGACCTCTTCGTGGCGCTGCTGGTCATGCCCTGGAAGGCGGTCGCCGAAGTGGCCGGGTACTGGCCCTTTGGGGCTTTTTGCGACGTCTGGGTGGCTTTCGACATCATGTGCTCCACGGCGTCCATCCTGAACCTGTGCATCATCAGCGTGGACCGCTACTGGGCCATCTCCAGGCCCTTCCGCTATGAGCGCAAGATGACCCAGCGCGTGGCACTAGTTATGGTGGGCCTGGCCTGGACCCTGTCCATCCTCATCTCCTTCATCCCGGTCCAGCTTAACTGGCACAGGGACCAGGCAGGCTCTTGGGGTGGGGCAGGTCTGCAGTCCAACGAGACGCCCTGGGAGGAAGACCGGGAGAACACTGGGCAGGCGGAGAACTGCGACTCCAGCCTGAACCGAACTTATGCTATCTCCTCGTCGCTCATCAGCTTCTACATTCCGGTGGCCATCATGATCGTGACCTACACGCGCATCTATCGCATAGCGCAGGTGCAGATCCGCAGAATTTCCTCCCTGGAGAGGGCAGCTGAGCATGCACAGAGCTGCAGGAGCCACGGGGCCTGCGAGACAGACGCCAGAGCATCCATCAGGAAGGAGACCAAGGTCTTCAAGACCCTGTCGATGATCATGGGGGTCTTTGTGTGCTGCTGGCTGCCCTTCTTCATCCTGAACTGCATGGTTCCTTTCTGCGAAGACGGTGATGACCAGGACCCAAGGGCTGGCTTTCCCTGCATCAGTGAGACCACCTTTGACATCTTCGTCTGGTTTGGCTGGGCCAACTCCTCGCTCAACCCCATCATCTATGCCTTCAATGCTGATTTCCGGAAGGTGTTTGCCCAGCTGCTGGGGTGCAGCCACGTATGCTCCCAGACTCCAGTGCAGGCTGTGAACATCAGTAACAAACTTGTCTCCTACAACCAAGATGTGGTCTTCCACAAGGAGATTGCAGCTGCCTATGTCCACGTGATCCCCAATGCAGTGTCCCGTGGAGACAGAGAGGTGGCCAACGATGAGGATGAAGAGGAGGGACCTTTTGATCACATGTCTCAGATCTCTCCAACGACCCCAGATGATGACCCAGCTGCTGAGTCTGGGTGGGAGCTGGATTGTGAGGGGGAGATTTCCCTGGGCAAAATCACCCCAAATAGATTCCATTAAACTGCATAAGAAATGCCCTCATGGGTATATATAACTGCAACCACACATGCACACATGCACGTGTGCACATGTGCAAATACACACACTCCAAGCACACTCCAGCCTGCCTGTATCTCTGTGCATAGTCCAGCTGCGTAGAAACAAAGTGATGCTTAGTTGAAAAAAATAGCCAAGGCAGTTGGAATGAACACATATTCTGGACACAGACCAGTACCCCCACTAGGGAAGAGAAACTGGAGTCTGGTCCTTTAAGAATATACTCTTGACTTCCCTTTTCTAATAGAAGCTTATTTGTGTTTGTGTTGCTTTGTAAATGACAGGTTCAGGGTCTGGGTGGGCAGCAGTGGCTAGATGTGGCTTTCCAGGGGCTTGGGTCTGTGGCCCTATGTTCTAGAAGTATGTGCTTAGTGAAGGTTGGGGGGCTCTTTCCTGAGTCAGGATTTCTTCCTGACTTGTTGGGGTACATGTGCTTGGGGTGATGGTGGTGGTGACCTTTACTCTGCCAGCTGGTTGTCAGAGTTGCTCTGGGAGAAACCACAAGCATGATATTTAAAAAGCAGTTGGGGTTTGGAGCACACGTTTGTTTTTTGTGCAGACAGTTCACCTTAGAGCACGCAGGACAAAGGGTCGTGAAGAGGTGCGGAGTTCTCAGCTCTCTTTTTATTAGTCAGACATACCTCCAGGGTGTGTTGAAAGCCAATTTGATCAGAACAGCTTTAGACAGGGACTTTTGAATCTTGACATGCTAATAGTTTGTTCTGTCACTTGAAACTTTCTAGACTCACGAGACAGTGGTCCTGGTTGCCAGACAGGCATGCTCAGTTTATTGAAAAGATGACCTAGAACAACAGTTCTGTCTTCTGCGACCTCGCATCTGGAGTGTGTTTTAAAACTATGTGGCTCTGGCAGACCATGCTTTCTTGGGGCTCTAAAATGTGAGTCGATGTGCTTTAAAAGCTGAATCCCACTTTTAAGCAGACGTTTTTATTTGCAGACAGTAACAAACAAGGGAATGGACTTTAACCGAACACAGAAAGCCAGAGGTGACATCTGGATGAACTAGACCTTAGAAAGTCTATAGGTTGAGGTGCTATGTGGAAGTGCATGACTGTCTGGTCTTTTTGTTTCTCCTCTCTGCAATGAGCGCAGTGAAGTGTGTTTAACTCCATGAAATCCAAATGTAAAAATGTAACGAGAGCAAATGAAACAGGAATATGTAATTTTTTTTTTTTTTTACAAGCCCCTGCTCTGAAGACATCGTATCAAGGGCAGTTCAATCAGTTTTGGTGTCCTTGAGGATAATTGTATTGTTTGTCCTCTGAACAGCAACGTTTTGTTTCCTGTAAAGTGTGCAGTGTGCCTGGCATATCATGCTTAATAAATGTTTGCTGAATGAATAATGATTTCCAGAGCAGTGTGGCTGGAAGCAAATCTTATTCTGTTACATTAATTCCCATATACGATTTTTGTCAAACTCATACTGGAATCTGAGGCCTGTGCTCAGCTTTTTAACTTATTGTAAACCTTTCTAAGCAGGCCATCAGGGGAAGGTCAGGGGCTATGGAAGGTACAATGTGCTAGGATACAGGAGGTGGCTACGTGAGCTTCTCTGGGCCTCATTACCGTCTGTATTTGTGAACTTGATCACTAATTACCAGACTGTTCTTCATCCTGCGAGGCTCATGGGTAAAGTCCGGGGAGCAAACACAGTAAACTTGGGTTCCATGCCTGTTTCCCCTCTAGGATTCTGTAGAACTTTTTCTGAATACTATGAACCCCACAGAAAGGAGAATCCTGCATCTTTTCTGTGTCTTTGACCTTGCACATCCTTCTAGGGTAGAATTTCCATCTGTTTCTCTGGAGTCCTTGCTCTCAGGAACACAGTTGGAGAAACTTGAAACTAATTTTGATGTCCCTAAAAGACAACTATTTCATTCTAAATAACTGGTTCTGATAGTTAAATTGGGTAGGGCATCCCAGTTTAAAGAATGTGTTATGGGAAGCAAGTTATGTGAGGACTGTGGATTGTGCTGTGTGTAAGGCAGCAGACCACACACCCATCACTGTCCTATTCCCTGGGGTTACAGATACCAGGAAGAGTCTCTGCTGTCTTGGAACTTACATCTTAGTGGGGACTACCCTTGGACCCCCCACTGCCTGGACCATGCTGATGCTCAGAACACACATATCAGGCAGTGGCGACAGACATGAGATAGAAGAAAACAGTAAGTATTGTGGCAAAGCTGCGATAATATTTAGGGTTGTCGGGGAGGCACTGCAGAAGAGGCTCAATGAAGACAAAGCAGATGAAGTGTGGGCTGGGTAGTGGCAGTGGCTGAAGGAAAAGTGATTGGGCAGAGGATGACAGGTGCCCTGTCTGGGAGATGGACTGTGCACTGCCAGGCCAGAGATGGGAAAGCCTCCAGTGTGGCTGAAGGCTGTGAAAGAGTGGGGGTGTGCCAGGGTTTGCCCTACAGCATCTTCATCCTGCACAGGCTTGGACACTTACATATATATATATATATATTTGACATTCACACTCCAGTGAAGCAGAAGCTTTGATCAGACCCATTTTACAGGTATAGAAGTGAAGGCATTAGCAGGTGACACAGCCAGTCGGTGCTCACACAGCTTGTGAATGACGGAGCAAAGCGTGACTTGAACCCAGGCAGCCTGGCCATGGGGCCTCTGGTGTGCGTGCGTGCGTGCGTGTGTGTGTGTGTGTGCGTGTGTGTGTGTGTGTGTGTGTGTACGTGTGTATACAGGTACAATGATCTGTGTGTGTGTGGTGGCCAGAGGGTGATGTTGCGATGTCTTCTTCAATTGCTTCTTCTTACATTGTGAGAGAGGATCTCTCAGTGGAAACTCTTGCTGGTTTGGCTAGACTGACTGGCCAGTGAGCCCCCAGGATCCTCCTCTCTCCTCCCCAAGCAGTATGGGGTTCACACTCACTGCCATTCCTGGCTTTATGTGGGTGCTGGGGATCCAGACTCAGATCTTACTTTATACCTGCCCATCAAGCACTCTACTCACTGAGACGTCTTTCCAGGCTCCTGGGATCTTTCATCTTAAATGCCCTTCATAGTGGGAGGGGCTCCAGGGAGACCCCAGTTGGTAAACACACCAATAACAAGCAAGAACATTGAGCTCTTAGCAGTTCATAAATTCATTCCCATATCCATGCTACCAGAACTTTCCTGTGCACCTGCTCCATGCTGGAGGAAGAGGGAAGCAGGGAGGGCAGTGGAGGCCATAGCTTATGGACCAGGGCTAAGCCTCCCCCTGGATAGGCCATGCGTGTCCCTGGACCCTCATTCCTGGACCTTCATGTTAACTTTACATATTGTAATTTTCCCATTTTACAGATGAGAGCGCTTAAGCACAGAGGCCTTCAGTGGCTTGTCCAAGGTCCTATGACAAGTATGTGATGGACCTAGGTTCATATCTGGTTCTCAATTGGGGCAATTTTCCCCCCTCACTCTTGAGGACATTTAGTCACATCTGGAGACATTTTTGTGTATTTGTGTGTGGGCACATAAGTGCCATGGCACACATGTGGTGGTCAGAAGGCAACTTGTGGCAGTCGGTTCTCTCCTTCCACCATGTAGGTCCCAGGGATTGAACTTAGGTCATCAGGCTTGGTGGCAAGCACCTTTACCCACTGAGCCATCTTGCCAGCCCTGGAGACATTTTTAAAAATTTTGTATTTATGAGTGTTTTGCCTGCATGTATCTAAGTACACCGCATCTATGCAATGCCTGTGGGGATCAGAAAAGGATGTCGGATCCATCGCCTGGAACTTGAGTTAGAAATGGTTGTTAGCCACCATGTGGGTGCTGGGAACCTGACCCAGATCCTCTTGCAAGAGCAGCCAGTGTTCTTAACCACTGAGCCATCTTTCCAGTCTAGCCCTGGAGAGGGAGTTTTCGCTATCAGAATTGGTTTCCTGCCATCTGTGGGCAGAGTCTGGACATGCTGTTAACACTACACAGGCACAGGGCATGAACACATTTACCAGAGAGCCATCCCACCCCAATGGCCAAGGCACAGAGGTGAGGGCTGTATCTCAAGCTAGCAGGCTCCAGGTTCCAGCTTCTGCTCACATTCTCCTCACCCAGGTGTGAGAACTGATGGTCTTGAGTTTGAACTAGAGCCCCACTTTCGGCTAGCTGTCTGGACTTGGACGTCCCTCGCATCTTTGGCTTCTTCCCCTGAGCAACGACACAGGTGACATTTGTGTCATGACTTTCCCTCTTGTTCAGGGAACTCTGGGCCCTGGTATGTTTTCTGAGGACTTTGAGGTCTCTAGCTTGGGTAGGACTACAGAGCCCTAGATGCTTAGACACACCAGAACTGAGACTCGCTCTGTCGTGCCCTCTATGAGAACAGCATCTCACACAGAGCAAGTGCTCAGGAAATGTCCATCATCTCTACCTATGTGTCCTCTACATGCGGCTTGCACACATGTACCCCAATCCCCAGTCTTAGGTGCTGTAATGGAGTGAGGAATGCATTGACTTACACAGTGAGTCTCATGGCCATTAACTCACCGCCGGGGCTGGGTGTGGTCAGACCTGCGTGCCTGAAAGATTCCCAAGACAGAAGTGTTGCTGTGCCCAGCCCCTCTCCTGTCATTTCACAATTAAAGAAGTGGCCCCCGCAGGATTCTGGAGACCCTTACAAATAACAGTTTTTTTTTTTTCATCTTTTTGAGATAGGGTCTACTTGTAGCCCAAGGTGGCCTGGAACTCATTTTGTAGACCAGGCTGACCTCAAGCTCACAGAGATCTGCCTGCCTCTGCCTCCCGAGTGCTGGGACTAAAGGCGTGTGCCACCACACCTGGCTGTTCTTGTTTTTTTGAGACAGGGTCTCATGTACCCTGTCTAGGCTGGCCTGGAGCTCATTATGTAGCTGAGGATGACCTTGAATTTCTGATCTGCCTGCCTCTACTTCTTGAGTTTTACAAACACATATGTGTGCCACCACAGCAGGTGTAAGTAGTACTGGAAACACTGTACCAACTGGGCCTTATTCTCAGCCCATAAACACCAGTCAATGTCATCCAGTCTGCCTATTTTGAAGTTGAGACCATTGAGGGAAGGGTCAAGAACGCCCCTGAAGTCATCTCTCTAGAGACAGCAGCCTGAACTTAAAGCCTGCTCTCAAGTGCTCCTTCTCAACTCTCAGTTACCTTCTTGATTGACTGACCATAGTCCTGCCTCTGGTTGACCACAGAATGACCTGTCCCCTGCTTTGGGGGCAGCAGATGAGACAGGATAT